CCGTGGCCTTGCCCCGTCCTACCTCTTTGACCTGCTAACCCCTTATCAAGAAGTCCGCTGCCTACGCTCAGCAGGCTCTGGCCTACTTCACGTGCCCTATTCGGCCCGTGCGACCGTCAGTGATCGGGCCTTCAGCTTCTCTGCCCCCACCTTTTGGAACTCCATCCCACATTACCATAGCCTTATTCCCTTCGCCTCGCTCCCTCTTTGCCTCCTTCAAGGCACTTCTCAAGACTCTCCTGTTCGACCATACCTTCGGCCACCGTCCTACCCTCCCTGCCCTCCATCCTCCCTTATCCAACCAACCCCCACCCACCTGCTCGGGTCCAAATCGCTGACTGTTCAGCGCCTTGGGACATCCTCCTGATGTGAAAGGCGCTTTACAAATGTAATTTGTAATTTTTACAAATGAATAGCCTACTCCTGTTTCTAAGTGCATTCAGCGCATTGAATCTATTCCACCACTTTTAGATTTTGCCAGATCTTTTGGATGCATATACAGACAAACCCCAGCCAGACAGACTAATGGGGAGAGATCGGATCCAGTGATCTGGAATTTCCAGTTAATTGGAACATCCAAGTGTGATTAAAATGTCAGAAATGCAAAAAATCCAAAATGCTGATAATGCATTTACTCACAACAACAAATTATGCTTTTCACGTCGGGAGGACATCCCAAGATGCTGGACACTTAAAAATTTGGACCTGAGCTGGAAGGATCAGATGGGGTGGAGGGCAGGAGGGTAGGGATAAGAGGGTGACCGAAGGTGCAATCTAAGAGGTGGGGCTTATGATGTGCCTTGAAGAAGGCAAGGGAGGTGGCGAGACGAAGGTACTGTGGGATGGAGTTCCAAAGAGTGGGGTCAGAAAGGCTGAAGGCCCAACCGTCAATGATGTGGTGGAGAGGGCAGGGGACATGGAGCAGACCAGAGCCCAATGACACTGGATTCCAGAAAAAGGACGGTAAAGGCAGGAAGCTGTGGGGCTCACATGGGCTGCTCAGTGTGGGGCAGAAGACATGAACAGGCAGGAGTCTGCACATGGGCCTGTGGATATTTTTCCCTGCGGATTGTTTTTTAAATTTTGGGTTTTCAGGACCGGCCCGGCAAGGTTTGAATTCTGGATATCCATTGTTTGTTTGGGCGGGGATTTACTGTAAAAGCAAATTGTTGTTCATCGCAATGTTCCCCCCTGTTTCTACACCCCTTTAAAACTTTACATACCTATAGCACTAATGCTCGCCAAGCGCCAGTAACTCTCTACTAGTGAAATGACTCACCTATTAACCTAATCAAGCTCGAGCCCCTCCCTATCTCTGTGATCTTCTCCTATCCCACTCTTCTGCTCGCACCCCTCTTCTCCCCCATTCAGCTGACTTTTAAAAAAATCCTTGCATTTGATGTAGTGCCTGCCTTTCATGTTACAACATGTGACAGCATTTCACAGGAACCACTGTAAAGTGCAATGATTGTGGATAATGCATGGAAGTAGGGTGTAACTAGAGCTCATTGCACACCCTACTTTTTTACATTAAAATATATACATATATTTATTTGTTGATATATATTTACGCTGGTCTCAGACAGTATCAAACCTGTTACAGAAAAGAAGACGCAGCATGTCATCATTCTGTTACAGAAGGCAATTACAGGCCCTTGTGGCGGGTGGGTGGGGTGGGGGACCAAGGGACCAAGGCTTTCCCACCTCTGGGTTTTGCCGCCCTATGCAGGGTGCAGTTACAAAGGGATTTTGTAACTCCCCCTTACTATCCCTCCCCTCCAGCTTGCGCCCCTGTGCGCACTACACCCATGTGTGCAAGTGCATACACCCTGATAAGGCACACCTTATTCCTTTTGCACTTCATTCGTAGTTGAATACACCCCTAATCTCTGGAGCTCACTCTCACTACGCCTCTGTCTTGTCCCTTTGGGTCTTTCACTGGCAGCATTATGTACATACAACCCATATATTTGCTGGAGCCCCAAGGCAGTGAGGGGGCATTCTGGCATCATGACCAGGCTCACAATGGCCATCTTTCCTCCACAGACAGCAGACCATTCAGAACTCTGCAGCTTGCGCCCTCTCCTGCCTTAGGCTCCACAAACTGATCCACCCCAGCCCTCAGAGGATCGAGTTCACAATCCTTGCCTCACCCTACTTCTGTGATCTTCTAAATCCCTGTCTGCTCCCTCCGCTCAGCAGTCTCTGGCCTGCTTAGGCCCTCAGCCTTTCTATCCCCACTCTCTGGAACTCCATCCCAGAGTCCCTTCACCTCATGCCTTCATTCACCTTCCTTAAGATCCCAATCAAGACCTTCCTCTGTGCCTTTGGTCATTTTCCCACCCCTTCCCTAACCCAATCCCCAGCTCAGGTGCAAACCCTCAAATGTCCAGTGCCTTGGGACGTCCTCCTGACTTTAAAAGTGCTATATAAATTTGTTGTTGCCTCTCTGGAGTACTCCGTACTCCGAAATGCAGTCCTGCTATATAAGTGCAAGTTTCGCTCACAAAATAGTCAAAAACATTTTACAGTATAAATGGTGAAGCGGTTTGAGACGTCTCAACGACGTAATAAAGCGCTATATGAAATGCAAGGATTATTATTACAGTTGTCGTTACTGTTACAGATCTGCCCTATATCAAGTGCAAGGATTATTATTATCCTTCATATCAAAAGAAAGCTTAAAAAGAATGACGATTGAAATGTAACCCTTTTGACTGCATAAAATCTTCCCACTTGGAATGTCTGGGGTGCGTCAGTAAAAGTAAGAGTGTATCTTGATCATTCCAAATCGTAGCCTGGCTGATTTCAGTGAATTAGCAGTACATTTGGAGTCCTGTAGCTCAGTGGTTAGAGCACTCGCTTTGCAAGTGAGAGACCTGAGTTCATTTCCAGGCAGAGGGCGAAACCTTGGGCAAGTTTCCTTACTCCACACACCTAATAATAACCCCTCCAAAACCAAAAATAAATTGGTCAGTTTCAATCTACGACTGTTTGTGGGACATTTCTGTGTGCAATTGGCTGCTGCGTTCGCCCACAAATATACAGTCAATTCACTTTACAGTGTGTTCTGTGAAGCGCTTTGGGACGTCCTCCCGACGTGAAAAGCGCTATATCAAATGCAAGGATTATTATTATTATAAATTGGATGGTACAAACAGCTCTTCAGCAACAGTGTGTTTCGCTGATGGAGGAAAATGCCCACTTGGTCAAGATAAGAAACAAGCTCAGTTTTCTTGATGGGTTCACTGGAACGCGAATGTTTGCTGAAACTATGCCAAAACTGAGAAGAAAGCACCGCTGTAACTCAGAAATATTAGTAATTACATAAGTCACATCAGTTGGGAGCATATATTTAATATGACTTATGCAAAATATGAGTTATGTCAAACTTGCATAAGTCATATCATATATGTAAAGTTATGTATAAGTTGGATTTATATGATGTGTGTATGTGTATCACTCTGTGTCTGTGAGTGTGTCTCTGTCTGTGTTTTTGTCTGTGTCTTTGAATGTGTCTCTCTGTGTGTCTGAGTGTATCTCTTTGTGTGAGTGTGTCTCTGTATGTGAGTTTGTCTCTCTGTGTGTCTGAGTGTGTCTCTGTGTGTCTGAGTGTGTCTCTCTGTGTATCTGTGTGTGTGTGTCTGAGTATGTCTCTCTGTGTGTCTAAATATGTCTATGTGTGTGTGTGTGTCTGAGTGTGTCTCTCTGTGTGTGTCTCTGTGTATCTGAATGTGTGTGTGTGTGTGTCTGAGTGTGTCTCTCTGTGTGTGTCTCTGTGTATCTGAATGTGTGTATGTCTGTGTGTGTGTGTGTGTGTCTGAGTGTGTCTCTCTGTGCATCCGAATGTGTGTCTGAGTGTGTCTCTCTGTGTCTGAGTGTGTTTCTCTGTGTGTCTCTCTGTGTCTGAGTGTGTTTCTCTGTGTGTGTCTCTGTGTGTGTCTGAGTGTGTCTCTCTGTGTGTCCGTGTGAGTGTGTGTCTGTGTGTGTCTGAATGTGTCTTTGTGTGTGTGTCTGAGTGTGAGAGTCTGAGTATGTCTCTCTCCTATGATGATGGCAGAACTAAACCCAAGACGAGAGGGTCACAAAGGCGCGGATACCGCGACATGAGGGGCTGCTCCCCGAATAGGAGAAACAGCCCCCAAAAGCACTGTTGTAGGAGAGCAACAAGTCTTGTATCGGGATACAGAGAACAGTAATGCGATGCAAGATGTTGTACTGTGTGTGTTTTTGAGGTTTTTGTTGTACCAAATATATTTTCAACTAAATATATATTTTAAAAAGTGTGCAGGGATATCTGCATGCGGGTGGGGGGGGGTGGTGGGGGCATATGTCTGCTATCCCTGTTTGAGTCCTGTAGCTCAGTGGTTAGAGCACTCGCTTTGCAAGCGAGAGACCTGAGTTCAATTCCAGGCAGAGGGCGAAACCTTGGGCAAGTTTCCTTACTCCACACAGAGCCTAATAATAATCCCTCCAAAACCAAAAACAATAATAAAATTGGCATTTTCAATCTACGACTGTTTTTGGGACATTGCTGTGCGCAATTGGCTGCCCCGTTCGCCCACAAATATACAGTCAATTCACTTTACAGTGTATTCTGTGAAGCGCTTTGGGACGTCCTCCTGACGTGAAAAGCGCTATATCAAATGCAAGGATTATTATTATTATTATTATCATCCCACTATGCATTTATAGGATTTTTCTGCTTTTATTTCCAACCTTTTCAATAAAGTGTGATTCGCTGATGGTTTGTGTCAACCGCTCCCACTGCGCACAGTGACAGCATAGTCAATTTTGAGGGCAAAAAAAACCAACATTATTAATAACAACAACGACGACAAAGAATAATAATAATAATAATAATAAGCGAACTCAGTAAAAAATTGCGTTTTAAATAAACGAAAGCTGCTGTTGGTGGCGTTTGACACATTTGATGCAAGTTGGTGGGGCATATGATTCAACGGCTGATGCAACTCTGCTGTGTATTGCACTGCACACCCTGTGCACCTCAGGCAGTCAGTCAGTCAGGCAGTCAGTGCGCTTTGCCGCGGGAGGGAGCGAGTCACAGGAGCAGCTGCGAGCAGCCGGGGACCAGGGACCAGGGACAGGACCAGGGACAGGACCAGGAGGTGAGGCTCACCGTTTGCTGAGGGTTTTTGCTGAGATCGATCCCAGGGTTTGCCACGAAGGAAACCGCGGACCGGGGGCTTTTCGAAGAGCCGAGAGGAGAGGGATGTGAATGGGGTGGTTTTTTTTTTCTCTCTCTCTCCTGTTCTGTGTTGTGTTGTGTGTGATATCTAATGCTGAAAATGAAGGAAGCGGTGCTGTCGGGGATTGTCAGAGGGATTCAGTGTGAATATCAGTGCAGAGGGTGAAGTTGCTGAAAGTCTTGTGAACGTGTGAGTGAGAGAGAGATCCACGTGGGCTTCAGCAGAGCCCGAGCAGCCGCCACCACACACACACACACACTTGTTAAACCGGGATCAGGGCTCTTCCCATAAAAGGGCAAAATATAATTATAGTCTCTGGGAGGACTCGGTCTTTATTACCTTTATAATTTGTAACTGGACCCGACCCTTCATAACCAGAAAAGCCTCTCTCACACACACACACACACACAGAGCTGCGGGGGCCGAGGTTACAGCGAGGTTACCCCCCCCCCCGGGGCTACCCCCCCCCCCGGGGCTGCCCCCCCCCCCCCGGGACTGCCCCCCCCCCCCCGGGGCTGCCCCCCCCCCCCCCCCCGGGCTGCCCCCCCCCGGGGCTGCCCCCCCCGGGGGGAGAAGTGGGGCCTCGATTTTTTCCTAAAGAGCGGAGGTTGTTTTAAATTTAAATACATTTAAATGTATTATATATAAACCCACGTGTAACAGACTATTAGCCCGAGAACCCCAACACCCCGGGGGTGGGGCCGGGAGGGGGGTGTGTCGGGGGGAGTGTGTGTGAGGGGGGGGGAGGGTGTGTGTGTGTGGGGGGGGGGGGGGGGTGTGGGGGGTGTGTGTCGGGGGGGGGGAGTGTGTGTGAGGGGGGGTGTGTGTGAGGGGGGGTGTGTCGGGGGGGGGGGAGTGTGTGTGAGGGGGGGGGGTGTGTGTGTCGGGGGGGGGAGTGTGTGTGGGGGGGGGGGTGTGTGTGTCGGGGGGGGGGAGTGTGTGTGAGGGGGGGGAGGGGGGTGTGTGTGGGCGGTGTGTGTGTGAGGGGGGAGGGTGTGAGGGGGTGTGTGTGTGGGGGGGAGTGTGCGGGGGGAGTGTGTGTGGGGGTGTGTGTGTGAGGGGGGGTGTGTCGGGGGGGGGAGTGTGTGTGAGGGGGGGAGGGGGGTGTGTGTGGGGGGTGTGTGTGTGAGGGGGGAGGGTGTGAGGGGGTGTGTGTGTGGGGGGGGGAGTGTGCGGGGGGAGTGTGTGTGGGGGTGTGTGTGTGAGGGGGGGTGTGTCGGGGGGGGGAGTGTGTGTGAGGGGGGGAGGGGGGTGTGTGTGGGCGGTGTGTGTGTGAGGGGGGAGGGTGTGAGGGGGTGTGTGTGTGGGGGGGGAGTGTGCGGGGGGAGTGTGTGTGGGGGTGTGTGTGTGAGGGGGGTGTGTCGGGGGGGGAGTGTGTGTGAGGGGGGGAGGGGGGGTGTGTGGGGGTGTGTGTGTGAGGGGGGAGGGTGTGAGGGGGTGTGTGTGGGGGGTGTGTGTGTGAGGGGGGAGGGTGTGAGGGGGTGTGTGTGGGGGGGTGTGTGTGAGGGGGGAGGGTGTGAGGGGGTGTGTGTGTGGGGGGTGTGTGTGAGGGGGTGTGTGTGTGGGGGAGGGTGGGGGAGTGTGTGTGGGGGGTGTGTGTGTGGGGGGGAGGGAGGGGTGTGTGAGGGTGTGTGGGGGGGGGGTTGTGTGGGGGGGGTGTGTGAGGGGGTGTGTGTGGCGTGTGTGTGTGAGGGGGGGTGTGTGTGGGGGGAGGGGGTGTGTGTGGGGGAGGGGGTGTGTGTGGGGGGAGGGGTGTGTGTGGAGGGGGGTGTGTGTGGAGGGGGTGTGCGTGGGGGGGGGGAGGGGGGTGTGTGAGGGTGTGAGGGGGGGTGTGTGAGGGTGTGGGGGGGGGGAGGGAGGGGGTGTGTGAGGGTGTGGGGGGAGGGAGGGGGGTGTGTGAGGGGGTGTGGAGGGTGTTAGGAAGGACACAAAGCTTTTACCAAGTGATGGTGAAGCAATGAATGTGACTCACGGACGGGGGTTAATAACGGCCGTGACCGACTTCCCCTTCAGTGGGAGGGCCCGGGCCCGGCACTGTACTGTGTGGGCCTCGTGCTTGTGGAGCGGGTATGTGGGGTTTGCTGCAGTGCCGGGGGGGGGTGGGGGGGCAACTCGGTTGTAGCTCATCCCAAACCTGTTTAACACGTTGTCCTTTTAAGCGGCCCCGGGGAGGGGCGGGGGGCGCGAAGAGCGCAGCCTCAGTGCCAGTGTTAAAGATGGCTACTTCCTCCCCCCCCCTCCCCGCCCTCTTCACTACGCAGCCGCAGTGCCAGCTTCACGGATGGTCGCCCCGCCTTCCTGTCTACGCGGCCTCCATTGTCCAATCAGAGGTCGGGGCGTCCCCGGTGAGTAGGGGGAGGGGCGGAGCTGCTCGGAGGACCAGCTGTGGTCCTCCTCAGGGTTTGCCCCTCCCAGATCCAGATCCTTTCAGAGGGTTGAGCTGCAGATTTATCCCGAGGCACCCACCGCCTATGCCAACAGAATTAATAATAATAATCCTTTTGCATTTGATGAAGCGGCTTAACACGTCTTCTCGACGTCTCAAAGCCCTTCACAGAATATACTGTAAAGTGAATTGACTCTATTTCGTGGGCAAACGACGGCAGCCAATTGCACACAGCAGTGTCCCACTCGTGTTAATGAATCAACCTGACGTGACGTGTTCCGGACACTATGTTTTGTTTTGCTCTGACTTTTATTTGTCAAGGGCAGGGTTCCGAGCTGGGCCAATAGAAAATGCAGAAACATTGGTCAAAAAAANTTGTGGGAAATTGCAGTGGTTGGTTGGTGCTATTTGAGGTACATTTTACTGCCAAGCTACATTCTTTCATTGTATTGATTAAAAACTAAACATGAGGAAATAACAAATTAGATTGTTGCAATTTTAAAAATGAATTTGTCTAATAAAAACTGGGTGGCCGATTAATGGGCGGGGGAACACACTCAGCGCAGAAACACCTGGAGATCCAGCAAAAAAACAGACACTTGGGACCAGTGTCCCGACTGCAGGACTACAGGAGCTCACCACCACCTACCTCTCAGGGCTAGAACCGGAGAGACGCGCGTGCGCTCAGTGACACGGAGAGAGGTGCGCGCTCATAGACACAAAGACGTACACGCAGGGGAGAGACACACACATATTCACAGAGACACTAGTGAACATATGCACATATAGAAGAGACAGACATACATACATACTGAGGAGAAAGAGACACACCACACTTGCACAGAGACACTCACAAACAGACACACATACAGAGAGAGACACACACCACAGAGGCCTTCGAGTGGAGTGAAGCCCATTTCCTGCTCGCACCGTGCACGTGCGTCCGGAATTCTTCTGCCCACAGTTTCGTCAGATAAAGAGCGCGAGAGGTCCGGGTGCCAGAGACTTAATTTTTAGTAAGTTTATAGTGGACTGCGTTGTTTATAGCGGATCCCACAAAGAAATTGCAGCCACACTTCTCTATTGGCCCAGGTTCCAACATACTGCCTCCTATTGCCTCAAGTGTTAATAGTTTAAAATGAATGCTATAGGATTGTTATAATGGAATATAGTTAAATTTTTCTTGTGCATGAAGTACATTTATTGTAGACCAAAATTTAAGTTAAAACCAAGAACATTATTGGAAACAGCACTGAAGAGAATGGGTGTAATTAATGGAATTAATTGTTCTCCACAGATAACCCTTTCACCTGCTAGTTATTCGAACCCATGATTTGGCAGATCTGACAATGTGTGGAATATGGGCCCTTTTTGGCAGCGACGAATGCCTCTCTATCCAGTGCACCAATGCCATGAAAATATCTCACAGAGGCCCTGATGCTTTCCGCTTTGAAAATGTGAATGACTTCACCAACTGCTGTTTCGGGTTTCACCGCCTCGCCATCGTTGATCCATTGTATGGAATGCAACCTCTAAGAATAACCAAATACCCACACCTCTGGCTGTGCTACAATGGAGAGATTTACAATTTCAGACAGGTATAGTCATCTTTATTAATGTGTATAATAATTTGTTTGCTGCCAATGATAATGTTACTTATACCCCTTATTCGTCTGGGTTTGTGCAAAAACATTTATAGATGGGACAACAGGGATTCGCATTAATCTTGATGGTCTCTTTACATATAGGGAGAATATTTCAGTTTATAAGGACTGAGCAGGAGCCCAAGAAAAAAATAGATTTCGTAGATATGGTGCTCCATTCTTTTATCCTCCTGGGATGGGGTGTGGGGGAGGTATGTGGGGTTTGCTTGGAGCTGAATTGGCTCCAAGATGATGCATTTGTCAACAAATGTCAGAATTGAGGCAGCCTTCTTGGCGGTTTTAGTAATCTGGTTCCTGAGTCGGGTGGGTTTGCAGTATTCCAGGGCACTGCTTATGACAGCACAGCTGGCTGGGTTAATTGGCAGGACATGGAAGAGCAGACCCGTCATTGGGGGCTGGAAATCCACCCACTCAGCTCCTGTTAACCCTGCAAGCCAAAGCCCTAAAGGGTAGGGTGGTCCTAGCTGGACGAGCAGTGGGAAAGCTTACCAAATAGTGCTATCAATGGCAAGCTATGCTGGTTAGACTCCAGCCGTACCCCAAAGCACAATCTGGGGTACCCAAGCCTTGGCTCTTGCCAACCTGCACCTAATACTTTTCGGAATTAGGTAAGCAGGATGCATCCCTCCAGGGAGAGAGTGTATTTTCCATTCAACAAATTATATCTGGAATATCCAGGTGTAGGTGGGATGCATTAAATTCTCAGTTTGGTTTGAATACTTGCATGATGGTAAGCACGGTGATGGGTTTCCGCATGTGTCCGACACCCGGTTGAACAAAATAAAAAGGTACGGCTTTCACTGTTTTATCTGTTTTAACACTTGTTAACAGGAAACTTGGACGCAGGCTTTCCTCCTTGGATAATTATTGCTATGCTTAAGGTTCATGATTTCAATAATTACCATGCTTCCATGGTCTGTTGCCTTTTGCACGTTTCCCACTGGCCTGATATTAAAAGTTAACAAGTTGCAGTGCCTCTCCACTTGTACAGTTTTTGGCCCGTTACATTTTGTTAATGTAGAATTCTTGACTTATAACCTTTACAATTTTATTTTTACTGAATTTATTATTTAAACATTGCTGAGAACTTAATGCAGATCTTTTGTCGCACAAACTGATTTTGAATTGTTACCAAATCTGTCACGATCTGGTTGTAAGCTACCTTGTCTTAGAAATTCCTGTAGCTTAGTGATTAGAGCACTCGCTTTGCAAGCGAGACACCTGGGTTCAATTCCAGGCAGGGCGAAACCTTGGGCAAGTTTCCTTACTCCACACGCCTAATAATAATCCCTCCAAAACAATAATAAATTGGTTATTTTCAATCCATGTTTGTGGGACACTGCTGTGCGCAATTGGTTGCCGCGTTTCACCCACAAACGTACAGTCAATTCACTTTACAGTCTGTTCTGTGAAGCACTTTGAGACGTCGAAAAGACGTGAAAAGCGCTGTATCAAATGCAAGGATTATTATTATTATTATTATAAATTATAACAGATTTATGACTTACTTTATACCGGGGATGACATTTACATATGTATTGCTGTCTTTGTGTTTTAGCTTGAAAAGCATTTTGAATTTGATTATCAAACCCAAGTTGATGGTGAAATTATTCTTCACCTCTATGCAACAAAAGGAATAGAGATGACTGCTAAGCTGTTGGATGGTGTGTTTGCTTTCATCATTCTGGACACTGCAAACCGTAAAATATTTCTTGGAAGAGATACATATGGAGTACGGCCAATGTTTAAAATGATGACAGATAATGGATTCCTTGCTGTTTGTTCCGAAGCAAAAGGTAAAGTATAATTTTATGAAAACTTCTTTCAAATGGGTATGTATTTTCATTCAAAGGGTTTTGGTGGGCGAACTGTGATGGTTTAGCTGTCAGAAAACTGAAAAATGTCCCGTTCTTTATTCAGCTACTAGTTATATATTTGCTTCGCTCTTTCCTCTCCTCTCACTCCCTCTATGAACCCCTCCAATCGTGTTTCCATGCTGCCTACTGAATCCTTCTCCACTGCCTCTCCTCCCACCTCAACCTTCAAGGTTCTGTCCTTGACTGGTTCAGGTCCTACCTTTCACACCACCTCCACTTCGTCGTGGCAAACGGCTTCTCCGCCAGCCCCCGCACCATCTCGTGCAGTGTCCCTCAGGGCTCTGTCCTCGGTCCCCTCCTCTTCACCCTCTACATGCTCCCCCTTGGTGACATCATCCGCAGACATGGGGTAAATTTCCACATGTATGTGGATGACACCCAACTCTACCTCTCTGCCTCCACCCTCAACTCCAGGACTACTGGCGTCCTGACCGACTGCCTGTCTGACATCAAGTCCTGGATGAGGGCCAAGTTTCTCCAACTCAACGTCAGCAAGACCGAGACCCACCTGATTGGCTCGCACCAGCGCCTCCACACCTCGGCCGTTGGCAGCATCACACCCCATGGCTGCACACTCAACCTCACTAAGCCAGTCAGGAACCTGGGTATCTTGTTTGACCCTGAACTGTCCTTTCTCCTCCACATCCGTGCCATGACCGGCACTGCCTACCATCACCTCCGCAACATTTCCAGACTTCACCGCTGCCTCACCCCTCAGGCTGCCGAAACCCTCACCCACGCATTCGTCACATCAAGGCTCAATTATGGAAACTCCCTTCCCAACTCTTCCCTTCACAAGTTGCAGATCATCCAAAATTCTGCAGCTCGTGAACTCTCACGCACCAGGCTCCGTGACCCCATCACTCCCACCCTCACCCGACTCCACTGGCTCTCCCTCCCAATCCTCACTACCATCAGTGGCTGGACGTTCAGCCTCTCTGCCCCCAAACTCTGGAACTCCATCCCACGTTCCCTTCGCCTCGCTTCCTCCCTTGCCTCCTTCAAGGCCGGTCTCAAGACCCTTCTCTTCGACCGTGCCTTTGATCTCCCTCCCACCTCTCTACCTTCCCTCCCCCCTACACCACCCCTCCCCCATGCTCGGGCCCCGACACCTGATTGTTCAGCGCTTTGGGACATCCTCCCGATGTGAAAGGCGCTCTATAAATGTAATTTTGTTGTTGTTGTACCTGGTCTATCCTGGAGGACAATTATTGATATGGGGTTATTCTCTGCTGGCTGATTTTTCGTTTGGTTATCCAGACACATGTGGTTGGCACCCATCACCATGCTGGCTAAGTGTATTCAAACCAGATTGATAGCTCCACATATGTACGCCACCTACATACAGAAATTTCTCTGTGTCTAGAATGGAATATGCCCTCTCTCTCTTTCTCTCTCGGAATGCACCCTGCTTACCTATTCCAGAAAGTATTTGGTGCAGGTTAGCTAGAAATCAGGCATGGAGACCCCATAGTGTGCAAGATTGATTAATGTGATAGATCAATGCATCCAGAGTAACCCTATGTACAACTGCTGAATAAAGACATTGTAAAAAATTGAGTATTTTTGAGAGATTAGGTGATAGCTGACTGAGTTAATTGCTCTCTCGTTGTCAGAACGTTGAAGGGTCAAGTCCAACATTGGGACTTTGAGCTCATAATCTAAGATGACTCGACATTTTGCAATGTCTACAGCAATGCAGTATCAGATATACTGTTCTTCAGGTACACATTGAAACTGAGTTCATGTCTGCTCATTCATGTGCACGTTAAAGACCCCAGTGCATTATCCAAAAAGAGAACAAAGTTTCTCCTGGTGTCTCCCAGATAAGACATTGCTGTGTACAAATTAGCTGCTGCTTTTGCCTGCAAAATAAATAGTCATTACACTTTAGAGCAAATCCTGTGAAGCGCTTTGAGATGTCTTGATAATGGAGTGTAATGACTGCCTACTCGTAAGCGAAATGATGCTGAGAACCATAAATATTATCTTCGAGAGAGAACCATAAATATTATCTTCCAGTAATAGGATCGTGGGCTTTAAATGGAATCTTATATATTCTGATGCAAGTCTAGAGGATGTTGAGTAACTGAATATAAAATCCATTTACAGGTCTTCTTGAACTGAAACATTCAATGATTTCCACTCCGACTATCGTGCCTTTTCCCCCTGGCCACTATGAATCATTTGACTTGAAGATTAATGGGAAGGTAACCGAACTGGAACTAGTGAAATTTCACAGCTGTACAGAGATTCCAGCACATGTTCCATATGATACACTGGAAAAGCTGACTGAAGGTACTTAAGCTGAAGAGTCGTCCGGAGCTCAAGTCATCTATATTTCTCACGTTCTTAGTTTCTAATTGTGAAAGCTTTTTAAAATTAATGAGGGAATGTCTTTTTTCTCCTATAATTTCTGGCTCTTTAATACATGTTCACAGCTGTCATAAGTGGACTGTGTCTCCTGTCGTTCACCCTCCCTCAGCAACATTTACATTTTTTAAAAAAAGTCTCTGCTTGGCTTAAAAATTCAACCCTTATTTACTGTCATAAATGGACTGTGTCTCCTGTCGTTCACCCTCCCTCAGCAACTTTTACATTTTAAAAAAAAGTCTCTGCTTGGCTTAAAAATTCAACCCTTATTAATAAATACAGCAACCTGCTGTGTTGAGCTTCACTACAGTTGAGGTTTGGATCCTGAATTTTTTCTATTTGAAAATCCTGAGGTCATGCAGTCCAAGTCAGTCCTCTGAACTCAAAACGCACTTTGAAAGTGCTTTGTCGTGATGCAAGATGAGATATCGCAGTTTCAGCGCAGTGCGCTCTGAGACGTTATCCTACCTGAAGGGCTAAATGCAAGTTTTTGTTGTTGCGCATCAAAATGAGTCATTGTGCTTCTCAAGACAAAATGCTGAAAGCCTCTTGTACTGGAAACACTACGATGCATTATGAAGCGAACTTCAAATCCTATGATGGTTTGCCCATCATCGGGCCGGTCGGCTTTTTGTGCACATGCGAAGTGAGATCACTGGTCACATGATTGATGGATGTGCCCTCGGCTCACAGTTTACCATTGTACAGATCCCACGCACCACGTTGTAACATGGTTTCCTGTATAATAATGACTCAGGTGATGACCAGTTTAAATAGGAGTTTCATTTTGCGTAAGTTCCCACATGTGTATAATTTGATTTTTTTTTGCGTGGTGGTGACAAACAGCCCCACATCTATTTCCACTTCAGAGCTTGATGGGAACATTCGGCATGTGGTTAACTGGTGTTATATCTTATTGTAAAATTACACAAAAAACTAATCCTTCAAAGGAGTTTGTTCCTGTCGGTGTGAAATCCTCAAACTCCAGACACTGATTTGTAATCTTCCTCTCACACATTCTCAGCAGCCACACTGTCAAAGCAGTGTTTACCAATTCACCATTGTCAGACATTAGCAGAACGGTGTGCACTTTGAAGCATGTAACTGCAAAAAAGTAAATGTACCCCCACCCCCCCTCGCCCCAGAATTAAATTTGTTGCTAATTAGGATGCTTGTCTTGCAGACTTCAAACCAGAGACTCTCAAAGAGATGGAGACTATCAAAAAGAACATTCGATCACTCCTGGAAAATGCAGTAAGAAAGCGTCTGATGTCCAACAGAAGAATCGGTTGCCTTTTGTCAGGTACAACCTGGTTTGGAGAAAAAGATTTCCCCTATTGTCATTTATTTCAAGATGAGCAAGTCTTACTCTTTTGATTTTTAACAGTAACTAACTAATACAGTAACTAAGTTATTACAATACCTGGCTTTTGCCATACCTAGCAGTTAGCATTGGAGGTCAACAACAGCTGTCTGCTGAAGTGCATCTGAACTAAAACAAGAGGCTATGTCAGATTTTGCAACGGGGTAGGAGTGTGGAGTTGGGTGACTTGCCTGTCGCTCTCCATGATTCCTCCTGAAGTTGTATGAGGCAGAGCAGAGTTGCACTTCAACCAACGAGGTTTCAATCAAGCGAGGTGCTTCATTTCGTATGGTAGTTCTCAAGGAAATAAGTGAAAGCCGTGAAAGAAGAGTGGTTACGTGGCAGCAGGGCCCAGTGAATTATGTCCGATTGGCTGCGATGGGCTCAGCGAGGTGGTGGTTTTCGAGGTTATGGCAGTTTTTTGTGGTTCAGCCAGGATTTTTTTGGGTCTTGGAGGTGATAACCCTAGAAAAGAGAAAACGAGAGCAGGAAGAGAAGCATTGTAAGTATGAAAGAAAAGATGAAATAGGAAGAATAATGTAAGCAACTTTCAAAATTTAAAAATAAGTGACCTGCACCAGTTGCTTTGTGAACATCAGAGTTCGTCTACAAAAAATAAAGTAAATTCACTTTACAGTATGTTCAGTGAAGCACTCTTGAGAGGTATCAAAGACGTGATAAGGCATTATATCAAATTATATTATGAGAGAGGGAAAACTTCCATATCATTTTGAAACAACTTTCTGCTTCACCACTGACTCTGAGCGTGTAGAATGTATGACTTCATGCACAAAACCATTAGAACTTTATTTTCCCAGATCACTACTGTGGAAATAGTGAATAGCAGAGAAACATCTGAAATATCAGTGATGCCTGGCCTTTTTACCCAATTCCAGTAGCAGAGATAAGACAATAATGTGTTGACCATACATTGCGACACGCATGCAATTAAATTTTTCGCACATTAAAGACATTGTGTTCTCTTTCTCTGGTGACATTGCCATTGCTTTTATTCTGGAGATGATGGCAAACAAACTCAAATAAAACCAGCGTTACTGCTCGATCTCTTTTACTGATGTTTGAATGAGAATTGACAATTAAAGTACAGCAGATAATGCAGAATATAATCAATCTAAGCAACTGTTAGACAACCTAGGGCTCTTCAGTCTTGAGACTTCAGTCTTGAACTCTAAGGGGATCTCTCAGAGGTGTACAACATTTCAAATGGGATTGGAAAAGGAAGCCTAGATCAATACGTTCAGATGCAACAAAACAGTAGAACAAGAAGACAGATTTAGAATTGTAAAAGGCAATTTCAGCATAGATACTAGGAAGCCTTTCTTTGCACAGTATGTAATGACTAGAACAGGTTGCCAGGAAAGGTGGTAGAGGTCAGGACACTGGACTTGTTAATAAAAAAAAGCTTGATATTGTTATGGGGAGAGGGGAAACTGTAAGGTGGGTGTTCTGGAAGGATGAGATTAAATGGGATGGGCTGAAAGGCCTTCAACCAAACTGATATTATGATCTGTCATGTGTAACAAATGAACAACTTTCAATTTGTAAAGGTCCAAATTAGTAACATTCGAGCAGTCTTGGGCTTATACAATGATTAAGCTATTTTAACTCTGATAAAACTGCATGTTCCTAAATTCTTGATTGCATGAAGGCTTCTATGAAGTTGCTAAGATTATAACACTGGGAGGTTAATGGTGACCCAAGATACATTACCATTTTTATTTTGGCTGTTCCTAAGTGGTTCTGATTATCTGAAATTTGAACCTATTTTTAATTGTTTAGGGTAAAATGCTATTAATTAAAACCAGCCAAACATTTAACCCTACTCTCCGACTTCCATCTTTCAACCCTCTCTATCCATGCCACGTACCTTCAACACCATATGCCTTAACTTTGGCAACAGAATGTTGGAATCAAGCTAGCTCTCCCTCTATGGTGGTCTTGGTAGTCTGTTTTTTGTGCCAGGCAGGTCTGCAATACTCCAGGGCACTGCTGATGACAGCACAGCCAACCTGGCTCATTGGCAAGATTTGGGAGGGCAAACCAGTCACTGGGGACAGGGATTCTTTTCACACAGCTCCTGTTAACCCTGCAAGCCAAAGCCCTGAAGGGTAAGGTGGTCCTAGCTGGACAAGCAGTGGGGCCCTGCCCCTCACAAACCCAAGTTTAATTTCACTGGATATACTGGTCATTTCGATGTGTTCACATGTACTATCTCATTGAAATTTGCCAGCGACGGGTACAGATGGACATTGTCACGGTGAGAGAGACCTTGTAAAATTTACTGAAAATTAAATTCTGTATTTTTATATGAATTGCAGGTGGTTTGGATTCCAGCCTCATTGCTGCCCTCCTTCTGAAACTGAAGAGAGAGAAAGATGACATGATGTACCCAATCCAGACATTTTCAATAGGAATGGAAGACAGCCCTGATGTAATTGCTGCTCGCCAGGTATCAGTTTCATTTTGATCCAGTAATAATAAATAATAATCCACAGTCGGTTCCTGGTTGATGATTTTTTTTCTTTGACTAGGTTGCAAAGTACATTGGCAGTGATCATCATGAAGTTGTTTTCAGTGCAGAAGAAGGAATTCAGGCAATAGACAATGTTATTTTTTCCCTGGAGAGCTATGACATCACTACAATCCGTGCCTCTGTTGGTAAGATTTTACACAACTACACTATCCTGATTATAGAGGAGAGATTTAATGGGAAAATTAGAATTTTTAAAAAAAAATTACCGAAATTATATTTAGCTTTCAATAGCCCTTTGGGTAAAGTTACAAAGATGGAAAGTTACAGTTTCAAATCTTACTCTTTGCTAAGTGAACTAACTGATTACTGCTGGGAAACACTTTGACCACTGTAATTTGCCTAGCGGCCCGATTGAGAAGGAGAAAATGAGTTTTGGTGCCTGCTCGTGATCTCCATTAAGAGATCCTCTGGCGCCTTTCATATTTGGAGGATATTCCATAACATTTAACAATTCTTGCAGGGCATCGGAACTGAGGAAAGGATGTCTTTTAAAAGTAGTGTTTTCTTTTTGTTTGTAGGAATGTACTTGGTTTCAAAGTACATAAAAGAGAAAACTGACAGTACTGTCATCTTCTCTGGGGAAGGTTCTGATGAACTCGCACAGGGATACATATATTTTCACAAGGTACAGTGCAAATGACCTTCCTTTGCATGCTTATTAATGGAAACATTTTGGATATTTATGCATTTGTGACAGTAATACTTTGTTTAATGACATTTTGCTTTCAGCAAAAATAATCCAGTTGCACACAATTGTGCAGTTGTGTATGAATGTGATTAGACTAGGCTTGCGATTGACCTGCCCTGTCCCTCTCCTAGGCTCCATCTCCTGATGAAGGTGCAGCAGAAAGTGAAAGACTTTTGAGGGACCTGTATCTCTATGATGTCCTACGTTCTGACCGAACAACAGCAGCTCACGGGTAGGGTTTTGCTTTTATATAGAAAACGAGATCTGAGAGACATTGAACTTGTATTCTTCTCAAGAACCTTAAACATATTTTGAAATGAAAGCTGAATGAGGATATTAACTAAAATTATGTCATTTTTGGAGGTTTCAAACTGGTCTTTCTTTTACTCTTATTCTAGACTCTATCCAGCTGTGTAACATTTCCATTTTTTATTTGCCTACTGATTGACAAACTGATCGACAGACTGATTGACAGACTGGTCTGATGTGTGAATGGAAGGGATAGCTCCAAATAGAAAACAAAACATGTCTACATTTACTGCTGTTTCTGGTTGTAGTTGCAGCAGAGTTTGAGTTTAATTTTTTTTTATCGTCACTGTCATGAATTTAGGTTTATGGACAGAGCTGGCAGTGTAGCTAAATTAGTAGCTTTATATATGAATAAAAACACTTTATTATTGTTTACAATTTTATTGCACGTTTTTTCTTAATTCAGATTGGAAATCAGAGTTCCATTTTTGGATCATCGTTTTACTTCCTACTACCTATCAATTCGGCCAGAGCTCAGAGTACCAAAGGTAAAAATAAGCTATAGATTCCAATAATGTGTGTGATATAGTTGTAGAAATGAACAAAAAGAGGTCTCCAGCTCAGAAGAGGGAGGTGAACATGCAGTTTGGGTCTAAGTATATTAGGTCTGCTAAGGGTGTGGAGCATTTTGCCCATGCAGTCAATGGAGGTGGACAAGGTGTGGATAGTCTCAAGAAGAGAATTACCTGGCTTTGTGCTGTGGAGGGGGATTTGAGTGTACGTGAGATAATAGTGATAATAGATACCTTATTGTAATGCCTGACTTTCTGGTTATGCGGATCAGTGACTGTCCAGCACCTTGGGACGTCCTCCTGATGTGAAAGGCGCTATACAGATATAATTAGTTGTTGTTATTGTGCTGTCGTGCTACCGTTGGCTTGTTTGTTGCCCCTGCTTTAAAATATAAACGATTTGTGGGTCACCGCTGCCATTACTTGCTGTGCACTATTCGAAGGAAGTGGTGTCAGCAGCGACCTGACGAGCCATACTTTTTATTTATAAAATTGGACCTTCCACTCTGGTGTAATTTGCTTTCCTGGTCTTTTGATTTGCTTTGTTCTTATTAATTGTTTCCTTAATGAACTTTCACAGTGTAAAACTTGACTGATAAAGATTGTAACGGATATTTTACTTATTTTTGTACCTTCAAGAAAGGAATAGAAAAATATCTTTTGAGAAAGTCATTTGATGGGCTGAACCTGCTGCCAAAAGAAATCCTTTGGAGACCGAAAGAGGCTTTTAGTGATGGAGTTTCTTCTATTAAGAAGTCATGGTTCAGTATATTGCAGGAGCACATTGATTCCCAGGTATGAGTGTGATTCACATTGTTTTGGTTCAGTCTTACAAAAAATAAAATGCTTAATTTTAAAGTGAATGAGTACAATATCCTCGGTTAAATTCAAGTATATTACTTTGGTGAACAGTGCTTTCAGCCAAAAGTGCACCTCAAAATGACTTAAATTATCTCTACTTTATCCCATCTTTTGAGAAGAGATTTCATCTTTTTCATCACACATCAGCTTGCTCAAAGTTCTTTTTTGCCAACTGAATGTCTGATGCATGTGAAAACCCATCACCATGTTTAAGAGTATCCAAACCCGGATGAGTTCCATGTATTGCCACTGACACACGGAAATCCCTGTCTCTGGAATGGAATTCACAAACTCCCTTGAAAGCGCTCTCTGGCAATCTTCCTGCTGCTTGTCCCACCAAGACCACGCTACCCATCAAGATTGGCTTACAGGGATAGCAGGAGCTGAGTAGGAAGAATCCCTGTCCCCAGTGACTGATGAGCCAGTGCTGTCATCAGCAATGCCATGGAATATTATGGAGCTGTGGCTCAGGAGCCGGACTGCTGAGACTGCCACAGGATTCTCTTGACATTCCATTGCCAATCATAAACACCTCTGCCACATGAATGACATTAGAAAGGGTAGGAAAAGCTCCAGTAGAAAGGGTAACAATCCAGCTTTTCCATCCATTTGCAAAGGTGTATTTGGTATAATTAATTCATTGATGAAGGTTTGTAAATGAAGTAATAGCTAACAATGTATTTGTTTTATAAAGGTCGATGACAGTCAACTTGATAAAGCAGCAAAGAAGTTTCCTTTCAATACACCAACTACCAAAGAGAGTTATTACTATCGTCAAATCTTTGAAAAACATTTCCCTGGACGAGCTAACTGGATTCCATACTACTGGATGCCCAAATGGACAAAGGCCACTGATCCCTCAGCACGCACACTGCAACACTACAAGTCTGACAGGGAAAAGAAGTAAAATTTCCAATGAAAATAATACTTAATTTTACAGCTACTAGCTATAGATGATACAAAATTAACAAAATATTGTTTGGTATCTTTAATAAGGAATATTAGAACTTTATTCCTCCAATTAAATATGATTAAGAAAATTGTCTCTTTTGTATCGTTCTTGATCGGAAGAATAATGGATACCTGGGAGTGGCTGAAAGGCAGGAAACTAATGCAGTGAATTGGGTGATGACCATATGTACAATACAAGTTACATTTATATAATGCATTCACGTCAGGAGGATGTTTCAAAGCACTTGACATTACTGGAGAAGCTCTCGTGGTTTAGAACAATTAGATGACTCCTAAAATGGAATCACTTTGAAAGCATTCCTGCTGCTGGGGGGTGAATGTGTGTGTGCTTTGTCATTGAGACATTTATATGTGAGTGTGCGCAATTCACTGCTGCGTTTTGCCCATAAAATATACAATCCGTTCATTTTACAGTATTTTCTGTGAAGAGCTTTGAGGGGTTTTGAAGACGTGATCAGGTGCTATATCAAATGCAAGGATGTATGCGGAGGACTCCCAACTCTATCTCTCTGCCTCAACTCCAGGACTACTCTTGTCCTGACTGACTGTCTGTCCGACATCAAGTCCTGGACAATGGCCAACTTTCTGCAACTGAACGTCAGTAAGACCTGACCTCGCACCAGCGCCTCCGCACCTCGGGCGCTGGCAGCATCAGCCTGCGCACTCAACCTCACTAAGCCAGTCAGGAACCTGGGTATCTTTGACCCTGAACTGTCCTTTCACCCCCATATCTGTGCCATGACCGGCATTGCCTACCACCAACTCCGCAACATTGCCAGACTCCGCCACTGTCTCACCCCCAGACTCCGCCACTGTCTCACCCCCAGACTCCGCCACTGTCTCACCCACGCATTTGTCACATCAAGGCTCGATTATGGAAACTCCCTCCTCATTGGCCTTCCCAACTTTTCTGTTTACAAGCTGCAGATCATCCAAAACTCTGCAGCTCGTGTAGTTTCGCGCCCAGGCTCTGTGACCCCATCACTCCCACCCTCGCCCGACTCCACTGACTCCCCATCCCCCAGGATCGAATTCAAGATCCTCATCCTCACAAGGCCATCCATGGCTTTGCCCCCTCTTACCTCTCTGACCTGCTGACTCCCTACCAACCTGCCTGCTCCCTCCGTTCAGCGGGCTCCGGCCTGCTCCATGTCTCCCGCCCTACAATCGGTGGCCGGGCTTTCAGCCTCTCTGCCCCCACACTCTGGAACTCCATCCCACGGTCCCTTCGCCTCGCTTCCTCCCTTGCCTCCTTCAAGGCCGGTCTCAAGACCCTCCTCTTCGATCATGCCTTTGGTCTCCCTCCCACCTCTCTGCCTCCCCCCATCACTACACCACCCCTCCCCCAAGCTCGGGTCCTGAGCACTGACTGTCCAGCACCTTGGGATGTCCTCCCAACATGAAACAACAACAACAACAACAAGATTCCATTTATAAAGCGCCTTTCACGTCAGGAGGACGTCCCAAGGCGCTGGACAGTTGGGTCATGACCCGAGCAGGGGGGAAATGGTCAGGGTGAGGGAAGGGAGGGAGCGAGGAGGGGGGAAATGGTCAGGGTGAGGGGAGGGAAGGGAGGGAGCGAGGAGGGGGGAAATGGTCAGGGTGAGGGGAGGGAAGGGAGGGAGCGAGGAGGGGGAAGAGAGTCGAGAGGGGAGCTGAAGGCACGGTCAAAGAGAAAGGTTTTGAGACCGGCCTTGAAGGAGGAAAGGGAGGAAGCAAGGCGAAGGCACTGGGGGATGGAGTTCCAGAGCCTCGGGGCTGAGAGGCTGAAGGCCCGACCACCGATGGTAGGGCGGTTGGGGCGGGGGACGTGGAGCAGACCGGAGCCAGAGGAACGGAGGGTACGGACAGGTAGGTAGGGGGATAGTAGGTTGGAGAGGTAGGAGGGAGCAAGGCCGTGAATGGCCTTGTAGGTGAGGATGAGGATCTTGAAATCAATCCTCTGGGGGATGGGGAGCCAGTGGAGGCGAGCGAGGGTGGGAGTGATGTGGTCCCGAAGCCTGGTGCGGGACAGTACACGAGCTGCAGAGTTCTGAATGACCTGCAGCTTGTGGAGGGAGGTGGCGGGAAGGCCGTCGAGGAGAGAGTTCCCATAGTCCAGCCTTGAGGTGACAAAGGCGTGAACCAGGGTTTCAGCAGCGTGAGGGGTGAGGTAATGCCGTAGTCTGGCGATGTTCCGGAGGTGATGGAAGGCGGTGCCAGTTGTGGTGCGGATGTGAGGGAGAAAGGACAGCTCAGGGTCGAACAAAACGCCGAGGTTCCTGACTGGCTTTGAGAGGTGGAGAGTGCAGCCTTGGATGCTGATGGTGTCAGCGCCTGAGGTGCGGAGGCGCTGACGTGAGCCAATCAGGAGGGCCTCGGTTTTTCGCACGTTGAGCTGAAGAAAGTTGTCTCTCGTCCAGGACTCGATGTCGGACAGGCAGCTGTCAGGACATCGGTGGTCGTGGAGTTGAGAGTAGAGGAGGAAAGGTAGAGTTGGGTGTCATCCGCATACATGTGGAAGTTAACTCCATGTCTGCGGATGATGTCACCGAGGGGGAGCATATAGAGGGTGAAGAGGAGGGGACCGAGGACAGAGCCCTGAGGGACACCACATGAGACAGTACGGGGGGTGGAGGAGAAGCCATTCGTTGAGACAAAGTGAAGACGGTGAGAAAGGTACGACCTAAACCATTCAAGGACAGTGCCTTGAAGGTTGAGGTGGGAGGACAAGCGGTGGAGTAGGATAGCGTGGTCGACCGTATCGAATGCTGCCGATAGGTCGAGGAGGACGAGGAGACAGAGGGAGCCCTGGTCACAGATGGTCAGGATATCATTGGTGACCTTGACCAGGGCAGTTTCTGTGCTATGGGCAGCACGGAAACCTGACTGAAGGGGTTCGAAAAGAGAATGGGTGGAAAGGAAAGAGCGCAGTTGGGAGGCGACAACTCTTTCCAAGACCTTGGAGAGAAAGGGGAGGTTGGAGATGGGCCTTTATAGAAAGGCGCTCTATAAATTTAATTTTATTGTATTATTGTATTTAATTTAAATAAAATCATTGACTACCATTGACTGGAGTCCTGTAGCTCAATGGTTAGAGAACTCACCTTGCAAGCGAGACACCTGGGTTCAATTCCAGGCAGAGGGCGAAACCTTGGGCAAGTTTCCTCCACACGTCTAATAATCCTTCAAAACAAAACAATAATAAATTGGTTATTTTCAATCTACGACTATTTGTGGGACACTGCTGTGCGCAATTGGCTGCCGCGTTTCGCCTAACCCTAACCACAAATATACGGTCAATTCACTTTACAGCATATTATGTGAAGAGCTTTGAGGCGTCGAGAAGATGTGAAAAGCGCTATATCAAGTGCAAGGATTGTTATTATGTATTTTTGGACATTGCTATTCAAACTCACAGAGATGGGATGTTTTGTTTAATGTGTGTAATGCAGAAAGATATATTAATATCTTATTAAAAACTGTGTTAGAAAGATATACTAATACAGAAAGATGTACAGAATTCATAGTTACAGGAGTTTCTTTATCTTTATTTCTTCTTTGCAAGGTCTGTTCTGACTTCACGTAGTTAGTGCCCACTATTTATACCCATGAATGAACAAGTTTTCATGACCTTTCCTTTCTCTGGTTATCACCACAAAGCCATCTGTGCATCGTTCCGACCTTGACCATATGTCCATCTGACTATCATGCACATACAGGAAACCTACTGTATTCCTACAGGATTAGAGGAAACTGAAGACTGAGGCCCTCCTGATTGGCTCGCGCCAGCGCCTCTGCACCTCAGGCTATGGCAGCATCAACCTCTATGGTTGCACACTTCAACTCACCAACTCACCAGCCAGTCAGGGACCCAGGTGTCTTGTTCGACCCTCAACTGTTTTCTTCCCCACATCCAAACCATGACCCAATCTGCCTTCCCTCACCTCCGTAAAATCGCATGACTCCACCACTACCTCACCCCTCAGGCCCCTGAAACTCTTGTTCATGCCTTCATCACCTCCAGGCTCGACTATGCAAACGCCCTGCTTGTCGGCCTTCCCAACTCCTCCCTCCACAGACTGCAGATAACCCAGAACTCTGCAGCCCGTGTCCTCTCCCGCACCAAACTCCGTGACCCCTTCTCCCCCATTCTCGCCCGACTCCATTGGCTCCCTATCCTTCAGAGGATCCAACTCAAGATCCTGGTCCTCACCTACAAAGCCCTCCATGGCCTCGCCCCACCCTATCTCTGCGACCTCCTAACCCCCTACCAACCCGCCCGCTCCCTCCGCTCAGCCGGCTCTGGCCTGCTCCGTGTCCCCCGACCCACCCACCCCACCATTGGCGGGAGAGCCTTCAGCCACTCTACCCCCAACCTCTGGAACTCCATCCCCCAATCACTACGCCTCGCCCCCTCCTTAGCCTCCTGCAAGTCCCGCCTAAAAACCTTCCTCTTCGACTATGCCATCGGTCACCCCCCCTTCCCCTCCCCTCCCTTCTCCCTCCCTAACCCCAGCTCGGATCTGAAATACTGTATACTGTCCAGCGCCTTGGGACGTCCTCCCGATGTGAAAGGCGCTATACAATTATCTAATCTTGTTGTTGTTGAATATAAATACCATTTTCTTATCTTCTAAATTTAAAGACTTTCCGTTTACACATCTTATTTTCTACAGGCCATCTGCTAGACAAGGGTCAAGATCAAGGATGTCAAAGTGTTTTACAGGACACATTCACAAATGACTCATTAAGAATGCTGACACTTACATTCACAACAGCAAAGGTTACACAGAGCTACAAGCGGTCAGCAGTTTTCGCTCGCACTGCTTAGGTACATTCAGAGAATGCACATTTCATTCCCACAATCTTATCTTGGGATTTCCATGTTTAGGTGGGATGCATGGAAATCTCAGCTTGGTTTGGATAGTCTTAAGCATGGCGATGGGTTTCTGCATGTGTCAGACACCCGGTTGACCAAAAAAANGTACATTCCCATTACATTTCAGTGCCTTGGGACGTCCTCCCGATGTGAAAGGTAATATACAAATGTTAATTTTGTATTGCATATATTATTCTTATGCCCAAA